CTTATATTCAGTTGGACCATTGGTTTGTCTAACCCAGTATCGTCTCTGCTGACTGGCAGTGACTCTCTGGGGTTAAAGTGGGATCAAAATGCTTTATATAGTGTGGATAAGCCCGTGCTCCCATGGGGCTGCCCTACTCTTTCTGTACTATACCATAATTTACTTGGTTCTGGAAAGCAGAATGAGCCATGCAATCAATTAATGCTATACCCTGACAACAACTGCTGAATATTTAGTGGTGGTCTTTGCAGTGGTGGTCTGGGGGTTTTCCTGTTGTTATTCTGTCTCTCACAGCTACAATAAACCTACCATTAAAATTATGAACTGGTCATTTCTTCGTCAGAGGGCAAATGGGCAAATTTGGCAGGGGATCAAATACTTTCCCCCCTCACTGTACCTGACTTTTTACCATAAGTGGAACTTTAGGTCAAAGCAGAAGCCCTTTAAAGGAAGTCTGTTTTCTCACATGCCGAAAAGAAGTTGTGTAGAGTCTTTAAAAATACCCAGCTGCCCAAGAGTTATTCAGAGTTCTAGGTAAAGCCAGTTTTTTGGTGATTAGACATCTGTGTTCATTGATGCACCACAATCCATCCCATTTCTCCCTCTTACTTCATTAGCATATTAAATGCCACCAAAATACTGACAAATCTGAGGACATTCAAAGGAGAGCAACATAAAATGATCAGGCAGCTGGAGGGATTGATCAGTAGAAAATGGAGTTTAAAACATGGAGGGGAGTAGGACAGGGGTGGCTAACCTGCAGCTAGCAATGAATGAATCTTTCAGTTACAGTTTTTCTCAGTTTTTCATTTTTTTCCAATCTTAAGGTCAGTTCCTTACACTGACTTGTGATTTTGTTAAAAGCCCACATGAATATTCACCTTTATTTTAGTGTGAATTTGTCCTACTTTACACATTTTTGCCCAGTGTGCACATTTCCCCCCTGAAGTAATTTCCTCTCATATAATATATGCGTTTTAACACACCCTTTTGGTATGCATTACCTGGTTGGAGAGTTGCATTTCAAAATTCAGAGAAGTATGAACTTCAAAGGATTTCTGTGTTTCACAGTTTGCCTATTGTTTCCGATAGTGCAAATTAAGTTGGCACTCCTTTAAATGTGAACCAGACTGCATGTCTCCTTACTATCCTGCAACCCTCCAGATATTGCTGGCCTCTCAAATCCTGTCATGCGATAAACTTGACTTTGTTGGGTGCCCAGTTTTAGGAGTTGCTTTTGCTAGTGTTCTTGGTTTTGCACGTTCCTTATTCCTCATTTTCATGGTCATGATTTAAAGGGAACTGTGTCTAATGTATTATTGTTTACAACTGCCTTGAACTGAAAGCTACAGTCACACAGGATCCAGTTGCCTGAAATGCTTTGTATGGTTTTGCTGCGGCTCTTCTGCCTTTCCATATCATCTGTGATGTACACTTGTTCACATTTTAATTTGGCAAAGCAGCACGCACACATTCAAATAAAAAGTTTCCACAGCCATGAGGCGGTTGGAGAACCAAACACCGTCCTCTGGACACTTCATTGCTAAACTCGTCAATCAGCATTATTGGCTTCCTTCCTAATATGAGGTAATGTCATCCCATTTTTGGAAATCCATTTTGGTTCATGGGTTGCCCTTAATTGGAGAGATTGTGCAAATGACCCTCTGTTCTGTCCTCTAACCTTTCAGCCCCATTAATTTTAGCTGAGCTTGGACCAGTTGGTGGTTTCATGACGACAGATCCTCTGTCTAGAGAACAGGGGAGGTCAAATGTTCCCACCCTTTATGCCTTTCTGAGAGGAGGACGGCAATAAAAATAATAGGCTTTGAAGGCAAGTCCCATGCATGCCAGCTGAAGTATGGTAGGTAGGCTAAGCTTTGGAAGATTCAGGGTTGCCAGAGGTCAGAATATTTGAAAGGTTACCATAAAAGAGAGGGAGAGAACAAATGTTCTCAATTGCCAATGCAGGCAAGACCTGGGAAGTATCTGCTGATGGATTTGCAGGAATCTGGTGCATCAAAATATGTGGGGTCTGCTTTCACAGGCAACTCTTCCCACCAGGGATCTACAGATCTGGGGCAGTGGCAGCACTGTTTGCTCCATGGATATAACCAAGCCTTTCCCTTTCTTTGCACGTTGAACACTTAGGTCACATCTACATCGTATGTTTAAAGTACATGGCTCCCTGCAAGGAACTGTAGTTTACCCACCACAGAGCTCTGAGCACCCTTAAACTACAGTTCCCACAATGCTTTGTGTGTGTGTGTGTGTGGGAGCCATGTTCATTAAATGTGCTTGAAATGTTGGGTATGGATGGGATCTAGACTGGAGTGCAGACGAGCTGCAGTGGGATTTAGAAGGTGGTGGTTTTTAATTCAGAAGCTTATCAATCAGCTTCCCATGTGGTGGCCATTATGTAAAAAAGACAAGACAATCACATTGCAAGAATGATTGAGGGCTGAGTAAGATGTGATGTAGAGAGAAGAGATCCATGATTAGGATTTCTTGCAGTTTTTGTTTTGCTAATTATCAGTGCCACTTTGATGGCAGGAGACGTGTGTCTTTGGGAGAGGGTGCTCAAGCTTTCCTGTGCCCTTTCTGCAATGTATATCTCTCACACTCTTGCGATGCTGTTACCTCCGCAGGAGAAAAGGAAGAGAGGAAGAGCATTGCCAACCTCCTGCATCTTATCTGGCTGGACCCTAGTAGAAGGGAAATGTTGTTATGCAACAGGCATCCCCAACCTTCGGCCCTCCAGATGTTTTGGACTACAATTCCTATCATCCCTGACCACCGGTCCTGTTAGCTAGGGATCATGGGAGTTGTAGGCCAAAACGTCTGGAGGGCCGCAGGTTGGGGATGCCTGTTATACAAATTCAGTTTTAGAGACACAACAGAGACCATAATTCTAAACAAATGTGTTTTATAAATGAGAAAGTTTTACTTGATGGTTTCTCTGCATAGGAAAAACGAACTGTTCAAGACCAGGATTTAATCCAAACTCTCTAAGCCCAAATCTAGAGTTCTAGTGCAAAGGTGGCTATCCTGTTGCTGCCAAGATGTTGCTGGGCTCCAATGCCTTTCATAGTTGACTTTGGCCATGCTGCCTGGGGGCTGATGGGAGATGAAATTCAACATGATCTGGACAGCCACAGGCCAGCCACCCCTGTTCTGAAGACTGGGCTACACTGATAGATGCAGAGATGTTAGGTGGGCTGAAGTCACATGGCTTCCCCAAGGAATCCTGGGAAATGTGGTTTGTCAAGGGTTCTGGGAATCATATCTTTGTGAAGAAGTAAACCATAATTCCCAGGATTCTTTGAGGGAAGCCTCGTGCCCTGAATATGTAGAAGTGACCTTTAGCTTGGGTAACCCTAGAATTGGTTTACAATCTCTGTCTTCACCCAGTCCGTGTGTCTGCTAATACCATGGGCCAGATAATTGTGAAATAGGCAGGAGCAGCTCAAGAGCACAGTGGTGGACCATGACTTGGTGTCCTGCTTTGCTCTTGAGCAGTTCACATTTGTTTCACTGAGTCTTGCGCTGGTGAACTGCCCAGTGTGTTATGTTCTTGGGTATGATTTTTTTTATTTTTTAAATTAGGCCTGGCTTCCAAGATTTTCTAAAGAGGCCTTGTAAGAAGGGTTCCATTGTTGCCTCATTGGGATGTAGATGGGGAACAGCTGCTCCCTATACACATTTCGCTCCTCCCCCTTAACAACCCCTATTGATAACTAATCGCAGCCCAGACGCTTCTATTAGCTATTTACCCAAAATCGAGTTGGCTAATGAAAATGTTTCTAATTAATACGAGGCAGATTAAAACTCATTACAGCAAGGTCGTTGGTAATGAGAGATAATCAGAGCGCAAATGACCGAGCTTGGAGCAAAATGAAGATGGAGCGCGAGCCAGGAAATCGGCACCAGCTGTGTGTGCCTCCAACGGCAAGGGAGGAAGGGAACAGGGCAAGGGGGCCGGAGGATTTGTGCAAGCATTGCTGCAGGCTTGGACGGGCGGTGGCTTAGTCTCTCTCTCCAGGTTCCATGGCCCATTTGGGTTGGGCATGTGCCTGAGGTGTTGTGGGAGTGCAAAGGTTTGCAATAGCAGTGGTGACTTTGGAGAGTCAGGATGGGCTTTTCTCTCCCTCACATCCCACCTGAAGGTGACCTGAAGTCCCTCTTAAAAGGCCTCCTTTCTAAGTGAATGGGGGATGACCACTGCAGGAGTTCCATTGCTACATGTTCCCCATCTGAGGTTGGCTAGATAACAAGCTGCTTTAAGAGCAAAGAAAAGGATTGCTAGAGTGAAACGGCTATGAGTTAGCTGTGCAACCTTTTCCCTACATGAAGATAAATCTCAATATAAAAAACCCAAAATGAAACAAAATCCATGAGCAGTTTGAAGACAATGCCAAAATTTATTTTGTCACCATCAAGTGTTTTGCTGTGGAGTAACTTCCATAGACGTGGCAGTTTTTCAATATAAATAGGAACACTTTTTTCCAGACATGGTGATGTATGAGGTTTTCTACGGGGAGCTTATTTTGTGTAGGAAAAAGAAATCACATTTAAAGCAATTCTTGGGACACATTTATACTACAGAGAAACTTGTCTTATAGTCATTACCTTTCCACAGAGAACTGTGGCTGTATTTGGGGATCTAGGGATTTCTAACAGAATCTGCAGTGTCCTTGCCAAACTACAGTTCCCAAGATCATTTGAGGGAAGCCATTACAGGTAGATTGGTGTAAAGCCAATATAAGCTTGAAGCTTATATGACACTAGGCACAAGACTCTTGCACAATCTTAGACCAGTAATTCAGAAATGTATAGCTCCATCTCCTGTTTTGAGACAGAAACCTTTCTATTTATACTCCTGAGAAGGTTAGCCAACCCATATAATCACAATTACATTGTGCTTCATAGAATCATAGAATTGTAGAGTTGGAAGGGACCATGAGGGTCATCTAGTCCAACCCCCTGCAATTCAGAAATCTTTTTGGCTAATGTGGTACTTGAATCCATGACCCTGAAATTAAGAGTTTCGTGCTCTACCAACTGAGCTATCCCACAGGCTCAAAGATGTGCTCTGCCAACACATAAGTGCCAACTTCAGTGCCTTGTCAGAGGTGCTTATAGTAGGGTTGCTGAGTTGAACAACTTTGAACAATGAGGGGTTTTTTTGGGTATTTTTAAGGAAATTTACCAAAAATTCAACACGTCTGTCATGATTTCCATACTCCTGGGTTTCCCCAGACAATTTTAACAATTTTTGTAAATTCTGTCTGGACGCTGTTTCCGATGGACAGATCCCAGATATGTCTGGGAAATCCTGGATGTATGAGAGCCCTAGCTTATGGGGCAAAAAGGTGTAAGCTTATTTGACTTTTTCGGGTTTTATTTTGTGTGCTTGTGCGCTCGCACTCGCGCACCCACACCCACACCCCCCATATAAAGCAGTGGCTCCTTCAGTGATGTAATTTACTTCTTTTAAACCAAACATTAATTTTTAAAAATAAAATTTGTGGAGGAAAGCTTAATAACTCAAGCCCAGTAAATCCTCAGAGCCCAGAAACCAGAAGGCAAACAAAAGCAACCCAATCCAACATACACCTTGCCTTTTTTGTTGTACCACAAAAGTTACGATTCGTATGTCAATCATGTGATTTCTTGGGCTTGACTAATGCTTTCTATTATTTTGACTCTGACACGGGTGGCACAGTCTCATTTTTCAGTGTCATTGTCCTCGTAATCTATTCTACGTTTTCATTTCTGTCCTTTTGTTTTAATGCACCCAAGCACCCTGTTGCTGTTCCAGCGGCTGCTGTGTTATAAAGAAACATCTTTACTGATCTGAATTCCATCTGCCATGGGGCTGCCAGCTCTCCTAGTGTGTTTGACTCCATCTGGAATTTGCCATAATCTTTTCAAAGTCCAATGTAATGCAGATATATAGGCTCACATTGCAGCTTTAACCAGCCACAGCCATGTTGTACTACCTAGTTCTGAGGGCAGAACCACATGTTACCCAAAAAAACATGCGTTCTCAAACCTTATGCTACTGTAACAATATTATGATGGAGTAACAAACAACAAAAACATGTGGAACTTGAGATGATGCTCAGGTCTGTTGATCTGAAGGCTATAAGGTAGAGGAGAAGGCCCTTAATTTATTTTGTGTTGAAGTCAAGATAAAACTGCATTATCTAGACCAGGACTGGCTCACCTTGTTTGGCCTGAGGGTATTTCCCTTAAAAACAAAAAAGCCTTTCCCAGCCTGGTGCCTTTTGCAGGTTGTTTAACACCTACTTTCATCAGCCACAGCCAATATAGCCAATGGTCAGGGAGTTTGGGACTTGTAGTCCATTAACACTTGTAGAGCACCAAGTTGGGATGGATGTTTCAGATAATGCACAGGTGTTGGTGGGTTGCAGGCATGGTTTTAGAAGAGTCATTCCTCCCAGTGTGAGAGAAACAGGGGAATACCTCGTTTAAAAATAATCAGGGGTCACCAGCCTTTTTGGGCTAGTGGGCACATTTGGAATTTTGAGAAAATGCCGTGGGTGCCAGTCACAAAATGGCTGCCGCGGCATGTTTAACATAATGCAAAATGGCCACCTCATTTAAAAGAGCAGAGAGAGAGAGGACCATCAGCACCTCCTGTCAGTGGGTAAAACCACTAACAGGCACACTTCCATGGAAAAGCTCTTCAGATCTTTGCTCTGTTCAGAATGGAAAGGAGGTTGGGTGTCCAATCCTGGCATCTAGTAAAATGTGACTGTTCAGTGTAGGAGAGGGCAAGCCAGTTTAAGCAGGAACTGAGCAGGAAGCATGAACAGTCTCTCATGCAGAATGGATGCAGAAGGTTATTTACTGAGAACTTTTGCAAGTACCGTAGGAGGTACCGGTGGGCATTCTGGAGCTTGCCAGTGCCTTGTTGGTGACTGCTTTGTATTAAAGAATAATCTGTTGTCTGTTGAATTGAGGGTAACGGCTGCCATGGAAGTGCAATTCCCCTGCCATTGTGAGTGTTGTTCCAGAACTTTGACTCAAAGAAAATGGAATTCTGTTGGTGCCCTGGCAGTTTCAGAGGGGCTTTAGATCTGGATGGAAGAGGAGGGGAAACAGTTTTTGCTGACTTTCCCTCCCAGGGCTTTTTTTTCAGCCAGAACTCACGGAAACTCAGTTCTGGCACCTCTTAGTTGGGCACCATTGCCATTATAAAAGAACAAGGGAGGCATTCATGGTGAGTTTCAGCACCTATTTTTCCAGAAAAACAGCACTGCCTACACCTTTCCTGTAGTGTTCCCCAACTCCCCTGGATCTATTTGTTTTTTGGGGGGAGTGGAGGTGTTGCTGAGGGCTGCAGGGCAGAAAGAATCCTGCCCCACTCCAAGCACTTGTAGATTTGACCAAATAATTGCCACTCCAATTTTAATACTGCCCATGTACTGCCCATATCTATGTAATAAACTGCACATTCAGGCATGACTCTTAAGGTTAATGATCCCAACATCTGTTCAGGTATATGTGTGCATCACTGCACATATGGAGATGAGGACATGTGGTCTTCTTTAATTAGTTAATATAACCAATTAATATGTATTATTTGTATTATTTTTTATTTGTTTTCTACATTACCCCTTGTTCAACTCTACAGCTGAAGTCAGCTCAAAGTATTTTGCTGATTATGAGAAAGGGGAAAGAAAAATGAAACTCTGTGAATGGCTGCCATCATTTTATTTAATTAAAGTTTGTATAGCCTACCCTAATTCAATTTTGTCTCCAGGGAGGGTACAATGGTGTTTCTAAAACAACAATATATAAAACAGGAGTAATTACAGTAATTAGTGATTACAGATGTAAGTCGGTTTTGGCATAGACATTGGGTATATATCCTGAATCAGTCAACCCCACTGTTGGCTGATAATTCCATGTGCATGCACACGAAAGCTTATACAGTGGTACCTCGGGTTAAGTACTTAATTCGTTCCGGAGGTCCGTTCTTAACCTGAAACTGTTCTTAACCTGAAGCACCACTTTAGCTAATGGGGCTTCCCTCTGCCGCCACGCCACCAGAGCACGATTTCTGTTCTTATCCTGAAGCAAAGTTCTTAACCTGAAGCACTATTTCTGGGTTAGTGGAGTCTGTAACCTGAAGCGTATGTAACCTGAAGCGTATGTAACCTGAGGTACCTAAAACTACTCTTTTGGTCTCTAAGGTGCTACATTATAATTTTTTTAATTCTTTTGGAATGATTCTTTTAAAGACCTTCTTAGATCATATAACTTTTTTAAAGACTTGATTCTTTTAAGGGAGTTTTTAGGTTTTAAAAGAGAGTCTTTTTAACTGTCTTTTAAAAGAATAGTTTTAATTTATTTTGATTACGGCAGACCAACACGGCTACCTACTTGAATTCCGTCAGGGTTGATCTTGGGATTAAGCATCCCCACATGATGCAGATCACGTCATAGGGTGATCATACCAGATTTCCATTTGGGGTGTTCTGTGGCCCGTAAGCTATTGGAAAGAGCCCTACTGGGCCACCCTAAATTTTGATCCAGAATCTGGGGGTGGGGCATGCACTCACCCCTTAGCATTCGACTGAAGAATCCAACCCAATGGCTTTACCTGCCAAAGTTGTGACAGTTGCTATGAGGAAGGCGAAAACCCCATTTGTCGGCAAGCAAATTCCTCCATGGCCCTGAGTAATCCCATAGCAAGGCCATATAAGTGCACTGCCCACTTACCTCCAGGCAGAGCCACAGTATACCAGGTGGGACGACTGACCAGGTACGTCACAGCGCAGCCGGCTTTATGCCCTGGCAACGGACATGACAGAAGAACATCCCTGCCACGTCCATCGCCAAAGCACCCCCCCACTAGGGCCATGTTGAATTTAAATTTTGGCGGGCAATTCTGCCAATCCTTGTGGTCGGCTGAGATGAACTGTGACATAAGCCAGTAATGCAGGCTAAGAGCTGTTTGGCTGTGGGGGGCTGCAACTGCTGCTGCTGCCGTCTGGATACGGTAGGTGGTTCAAGAGAATTTGATGAGTACCAGGTTGGAAAAAGCTGTAGTAGAGCATTAGTTGAATAGAGGGAGGAAGTACAGTAGCCCTGCTTTGAATTTGTGAAGAGAGGGTGCTTAGACTTTTCTCAGTTTTCCCATACCACTAAGGCTGCAGTCCTATTCACATGGACCTGGAAGTAAGCCCCCTTGAACTTGATGAGACTTATTTCTGAGTAGACATGGATAGGCTTATGCCATGGGTTGGCAAACTAAGGCCCGAGGGCTGGATCAGGCCCAATTGCCTTCTAAATCCGGCCCGTGGACGGTCTGGGAATCGCCGCGTGGATCGCCAGCGTGTGCGTTCTTTCCCTCTCCCTCCCTCTCCCTTGCACGGCGCCACTGCTGGCACCGCCTCCTTCCTCCCTCCCTCCTGGCTTCTCTCTGCCCTGCATAGAGGAGGAAGGGGGCTGGGCTTTGTTGCTGCCAGCCCCTCTCCAGAGCCCTTTTGTGCGCCGCTCATCGTCCTGCTGCTGCTGCCACCCCCTGCCGCTCACAAGACCCAGGAGCTGTGGTTGGCTGAGCACCCCTCTCGAGTCGCCGCCATTTAAAGCAGCCCCTCTCTGGAGCCCTTTCGTGCGCTGCTCATTGTCCCTCCTCTGCCCTTCAACCCCCCCATACAGCCCGGCCCCCCACAAGGTCTGAGGGACAGTGGACCGGCCCCCTGCTGAAAAAGTTTGAGGACCCCTGGCTTATGCTACAGTCTGACCTGCTGGGAGCCTGAGGGCCCTGTTCCTGCCTCTCTCTACCTGGCCCAGGGCGGGGCCTGACAGGCTTCATAAGAACTGCTGCTGCTGCTGCCGCTACCCAACAAGGACTGGGGTATTTGGGAGGAAGTTTTGTCGGGAGTTTTTACTGATGCAGATATTATTATTTTTTTATCTTTATTTTTATGTGGAAACTGTTCAGTTTGGTTATGTAGTTTTTGTTGTGTTTTATTTATTTTTATGACTACTCTGCTGTGTTTGTAACTATGTAAATCTTTTCATATTGTAAGCT